GGGTATAAATATACATATTTTGGATTTCTAAAAGCTTTAAGGTTGAAGTTATTAAATTATTATTTATATTCTTAACACACCGAACAGTGTTATGTATTTAAATCGAAAGGAGTAGCTACCATAACATAACCTACAGATATTTGGTCCGAAAATCAATATTCATATGACATACACTTTTGAATGGTTCTGTCTTAAGACTGAGGTTTTAAGAATGTCTTTAATATTCTTTTTATAAAAAAAATGTTTTCAAATTTTTTAAAATTTTTTGTTTATTTCTTGTTTTTAGAATTACCGGAGAATGTTACACTCATATTTCGAGATCATCAAAGAGATAAGGAAAGTGACAAGCATACAAGCAAGAGCGACAGCACTCCGACAAAACAACGCGGTTGTGGTCTTTGGAATTATGAATCATGGGCATATGATAGCTACGATGAAACACCCATATCGAATGATAACAATCTGATACTGTGTAAGACCAGGAATACTGTTTCATTTGGAGCATTAATTGGTCTTGACTTCCATACACCCGTCTCCCAGAAAACTTTTGTTCTGCGTGTACTCATGGATTACACATTGGATGTCATCTCCATAGTTGGCTGCTGTCTATCATTATTCGGCTTGGTGTGCATTTGGATAACAGCGATATGTTGTAAGAAGTGGCGTGAACAATCCTCAAATCGATTGCTTTTGAACATTTGTTTTGTCCTAACGCTGCTGATGAGTTATTTCTTATTCATCAATCTGCCGGATGCCCGGGGTACAATAGTTAATGTAATTAATCCCAACAATTGCATAGCTGAGGGTGCTTTCTTGCAGTATATCATTTTGGTGCTCTTCCTTTGGATGTTTTTCTTGGCCATATTACAATATGAACGTTATATTGTGGTTATGGGTATACAAGTATCTCCCTATCGTGTAACAAAATTTGCCCTGGCCGCCTGGAGTTTACCTCTGATACCAACAGCTTTGGTTGTGTACTTTGATAGCAATGCCTACATTCCAGAGATCAATGAATATAGTAAAAATTATTCAATTTGCTATCCCAAGGGGTTGACTTTCTATTTGGCTCTGCTCTTGCCAATATCGATTATATGCCTGGCTAATTTTGCCATTTTCATTTATATCATTGTAAGTGTTCAGCGATCGCTGGGGAAATTTAGAAGTAAACGAGATCGCAAACTGATTTCGCAACAGCTACGTTTATCGATTTTATTGTTCTTCCTTTTGGGTATATCGTGGCTTTTCGGATTGTTGGCACATTTGGATCACAGCGGTGTATTGGCGTTTTTATTTTGCATCACAGCAACAATACAAGGATTTGTCTTGTTTATATATTTTGTTGTAATCGATAAGACGGTGAAATTTTCATGGTTAATGTTTTACTGTGGCGGTGGAGAATACATATTGGAGGAGGAAGTTTCCACAAGGAGTTCGAATTCATGGATATTTTTAAGCAGAAACAGAATTTCTAGTAGAATAACAAAATAAGATATTGAAGTTGTATTTAAATTTATATTAAGTACATTTAAATTAATATTAATAAAAGATAAAATAATTAATAAATTTTTTACAAAAGAATATTTTCTAAACAATATTTTTTCAAAAACTATATAAGTCGTGGATTTTTTAAAGAAAACATTTTCAAGGACCTATACTAGACGTGGAGTTTTTAACGAAAATTATTTCAAGGACCTACCAAAGGCGTGTACTTTTTAAAGAATATTTTTTCAAGGATCATATGAGGCGTGGATTTTTTAAAGTATATTTTTTCAAGGACTATATGAGGCGTGGACTTTTTAAAGAATAGTTTTTCAAGGACTATATAAGGAGTGGATTTTCTAAAGAATAGTTTTTCAAGGACTATATAAGGCGTGGATTTTCTAAAGAATATTTTTTCAAGGACTATATAAGGCGTGGATTTTCTAAAGAATAGTTTTTCAAGGACTATATAAGGCGTGGATTTTCTAAAGAATAGTTTTTCAAGGCCTAACATCAGGCGTGGATTTTCTAAGGAATTTTTTTTTCAAGGCCTAACATAAGGCGTGGATTTTTAAGAAATATTTTTTCAAGGACTATATAAGGCGTGGATTTTCTAAAGAATATTTTTTCAAACACTATATAAGGGGTGGATTTTTAAGAAATATGTTTTCAATGACCATATAAGGCGTGGATTTTCTAAAGAATACTTTTTCAAGGCCTAACACAAGGCGTGGATTTTTTAAGGAATATTTTTTCAAAGCCTAACACAAGGCATGGATTTTTTAAAGAATATTTTTTTAAGGCCAAACACAAGGCGTGGATTTTTTTAAGACGAACACAAGGCGTGGGTTTTTGAAAGACGAACACAAAGCGTGGATTTTTTAAAGAATATTTTTTCAATGCCAAACACAAGGCGTGGATTTTTTAAAGAATATTTTTTTAAGGCCTATTACACGGCGTGGATTTTTTAAAGAATATATTTTCAAGGCCTAACAAAAGGCGTGGATTTTTTAAAGAATATTTTTTCAAGGCCTAACACAAGGCGTGGATATTTTAAAGAATATTTTTTCAAGGCCCAACACAAGGCATGGATTTTTTTAAAGACTATTTTCTCAAGGCCTAACACAAGGCATGGATTTTTTAAAGAATATTTTTTCAAGGCCTAACACAAGGCATACATTTTTTAAAGAATATTTTTTCAAGGCATAAATTTTTTAAAGAATATTTTTTCAAGGCCTAACACAAGGCATGGATTTTTTAAAGAATATTTTTTCAAGGCCAACATAATCTAAGAGTTGTATAGGATAAGGATTTGATTGATTTTTTGAAGAATACCTTTTCAAGGACGCACACAATGCGTGGATTTTCTAAAGAATAGTTTTTCAAGGACTATATAAGACGTGGATTTTCTAAAGAATAGTTTTTCAAGGACTGTATAAGGCGTGGATTTTCTAAAGAATAGTTTGTTAAGGACTATATAAGGCGTGGATTTTCTAAAGAACAGTTTTTCAAGGACTATATAAGGCGTGGATTTTCTAAAGAATAGTTTTTCAAGGACTATATAAGGCGTGGATTTTCTAAAGAATAGTTTTTCAAGGACTATATAAGGCGCGGATTTTCTAAAGAATAGTTTTTCAAGGACTATATAAGGCGTGGATTTTCTAAAGAATAGTTTTTCAAGGACTATATAAGGCGTGGATTTTCTAAAGAATAGTTTTTCAAGGACTATATAAGGCGTGGATTTTCTAAAGAGTATTTTTTCAAGGACTATATAAGGCGTGGATTTTCTAAAGAATAGTTTTTCAAGGACTATATAAAGCGTGGATTTTTTAAAGAATATTTTTCAAGGCATATTTTCTAAATAATAGTTTTTCAAGGACTATATAAGGCGTGGATTTTCAATAGAATATTTTTCAAGTCATATACAAGGCGTAGATTAGTTAAAGAATAGTTTTTCAGGGACTATATAAGAATAGTCTTTCAAGGACTATATAAGGCGTGGATTTTCTAAAGAGTATTTTTTCAAGGACTATATGTATGGCGTGGATTTTCTAAAGAGTATTTTTTCAAGGACTATATAAGGCGTGGATTTTCTAAAGAATAGTATTTCAAGGACTATATAAGGCGTGGATTCTCTAAAGAATAGTATTTCAAGGACTATATAAGGCGTGAATTTTCCAAAGAATAGTTTTTCAAGGACTATATAAGACGTGGATTTTCTAAAGAATAGTTTTTCAAGGACTATATAAGGCGTGGATTTTCTAAAGAATAGTTTTTCAAGGACTATATAAAGCGTGGATTTTTTAAAGAATATTTTTCAAGGAATGTATAAGGCGTGGATTTTCTTAAGAATATTTTTTCAAGGAATGTATAAGGCGTGGATTTTCTAAAGAATATTTTTTCAAGGACTATATAAGGCGTGGATTTTCTAAAGAATATTTTTTCAAGGGCTATATAAGGCGTGGATTTTCTAAAGAATATTTTTTCAAGGACTATATAAGGCGTGGATTTTCTAAGAATATTTTTTCAAGGACTATATAAGGCGTGTATTTTCTAAAGAATATTTTTTCAAGGACTATATAAGGCGTGGATTTTCTTAAGAATATTTTTTCAAGGACTGTATAAGGCGTGGATTTTCTTAAGAATATTTTTTCAAGGACTGTATAAGGCGTGGATTTTCTTAAGAATATTTTTTCAAGGACTGTATAAGGCGTGGATTTTCTTAAGAATATTTTTTCAAGGACTGTATAAGGCGTGGATTTTCTTAAGAATATTTTTTCAAGGACTAAAAATTGTAGGTTATGTAACCAGTTTTATTTCATTGTATGTTTTCTATTGTGTTAAATTTCTCTATTAAATATATTGTTATTTTATGACCATGGCAATCTCTTCATTAATTTCTCATATTTTTGATCTAAAAATATGCTCCCAATCAGCTAAACACACATTTCCATCCCCTAAAACCTCAAATGTCTTTCGAAACATCTTCAAATAGCCCCACATCGAAATATTATTCAAGACACGCATCCTGTGATAGCTATGGTATTTTAAATGGAAATCGCCTTAGAGACACCACTTTAAGACGTAAAAAAATAAACACCTTTTACCGATATATCGCTTCTAAATGATGATTCCAATAGAAATTGCCTTCGTTTATTTGTATGTATTTATTTGTTTGCCACATATAACAAAAAAATATGTTATTACTGCTGTTGCTGCTACTGGTACCCCCATTAATGGGATTTTCATTATGGCGATGCGTATCCTGTGGAAAAACAGCAGCAATCGAATACATTTTCACATGTGTAGCAAATCGACATGCTGTCGATTTCGCTTCATCTTGTATTAGAATAACTGCAAATTTATGGGTAATAAAATATTTAACACTCAATTTAAGATAGACAGATAACATATGTGTGTGCATGTGTGTTTAGGTTATAATGTGTTGTTTAATGTTCGTGGGCACATGTCAATAATGGTTTGATGGACATACGTGTTGTTATAATGTTTTGTTTTGTGAAATTTATGGAGGTAAGTTAGGTAGAAAGAAAAGGTTTTCTCCGGACTATATTATTATTTTTAAACACGAGAAAATATTTCACTGGAATGGGCTTTAAACAGAAAATTCTTAAACGGGAGATATTTTATTGAATTGTGCAATTTTGTTAAAGATGAACTGTAGATAAATTTTCCTTAAGGGATGATATTTATTTATTGTTAATAACAACTTTTTTATATTTTCCGACGATTTTATTAGAACCAAAGATATCAAATTAGAGCAAATTAGGTTGAAATCGTACCCAAAAAACGGAATAATGGGAGGTACCGTTGTATGAAGCCTAAATCGAAATCAGAGCCCATATTAAAACCTTTTGGTATATAGATTTCGTACCACTAACCAAAGTACTGAAATTTTGGAGGCAACGATTGTGGGACCAACCCTAAAAAGTACACTAATATTGAAAATTTTTGACAGGAAAATTTGCTACCCTAAATACCAATTTAAAGGAGTACATAAAGTCTAAAATATGCAGCGCTGACCACGCTGTTTAAAAAAATCAATTCCAATTCCAGTGAAATACTTTTCTATCGACAAAGCATGGATTACGTCTAATATATCCCCAACTTCCTAGTAGGAAGAAAGTTCTCCTTTTTGTTGACAATACAGCCTGTTATAAACTAGTTGATGGTACTTTTTGAAAATTATAAAGACTGTATTTTTGCCAGGGAATCATTTGATACCGGGAGAACATTGTGGCAGAACAACTTCTTCATTAAGAATCTGGATTTTTTGGAAGAATTTGCAACAATAGTTGGCATTCTGGAGGTGCTGGAGTTAGTGAAGAAACGTGAATTGTTTCGGAGAATTTTAAAAGATAAATAATTTTCAAGACCTTGAAGAACTAATGTACAAAGGACACATAATAAAATAAATAAAACGAAAAATTGAGAATTATTTTGTTTAAATATTTCATTTATTACAATTTGTTTATAGTTATGAAATGTATTTATCAGTTTTACCGAACTTTGGTCAAATGAAACAAACAAATTCACGCGAGTTTGACATTTTCAATTAAGTGATTCGACCCCCCAGAAGGTGCAGATGTCGTGATGATCGCTATGAAATTTTGCACTAAGTTTCAGTTATGGTCTAGGACGATATCTATAGTTGTCGGTGGGGTCTTATTATATTGAGTTCACGTCAGGATCTTATACTCATAGACGGTAATCTGACCCACGTTCAAGCATGAATCATTTGATCAGTGTTGTTTGTTTAGAGGATTAATTTTTTGACTTGTGGATCAGGAAATTGCATTGATAAAAATTGTGTTATTTTACACACAAAAGTCTTGATTGATTTGACCCACTAAATATTGACCGATCATCAAAACAGCAATTCCTATTATTTGAACAGATAGATAACCTTCCCCGTGTATGTTCGGATATAAT